TACCGTAATTTGTTTTAGCCATTCTCCAAATTATGGGCAAACTCTTTCTTTTGATTTTTTTTTTGATACAACAGAAAGTGTTGTTATAAATAAATATTTTTGTGCGTGTGGATGCTTTTCTTCTTTCTTAGTTTTATTTGACTTAAATGCCTGATAATAGTTTAGTGACTTTTGGGGTATAATTACAAGTTTCTTTCCAGAATAGTTGACTCAATTCATAGTTCCACCAGCAGTGCCTCAGTGTTTCTGTCCTCCTACAATTAACATTTGACCTTTATTGTCATACTTGACAATTTTATGGCCGTTCAGTACAACCTGTTTATTTAATTTGAATTTCTTTTCTTATTAGTGATTTGTAACATTTTTATGACTGTTAATAACTTTCTTTTCCTTTTTTGAGAAATCCGTTTCATATCCGATGTCTATGGCCATTTGTCTACTGAAGAATGGCTTTTGCTATTATAGATTTGAATCAGTTCCTAGTATATCTAAGCCATGAAACATTTGTCAAAGAAATTTGCTGCAAAAATTTTTTCCCAGTTAACTGTTTCACTTCTAATTTTAACTGAATTGATTTTGTGTCAGAGGTTTTTGATTTTACAGACTCAGGAAACTAGGTGGTGCATCAGATAGAATGTTGAACCTGGAGTCAGGAAGACTAAAGTTCAAATACTGTCTCAGGTACTACCTGTGTGAGCCTGGACAAGTCACTTCCCCTGTGTCTGCCTCACAGTTTTGTCAGCTGTAAAATGGGAATAATCACAATAACTATCTCCACAGTTGTTGTTAGGATCAAATGAGAGAATGTTTGTACAGTGTTTTCCAAACCAGAAAACTCTATATAAACTTTAGTTATTACTGTTGTTGTTGTTATTAATAACTAAAACTGCTCATGTTATCTTCTGTGATCTTTTCTATTCCCTTGTTTGGTCAGGAACTCTTCCCCTGTCCGTAGTTGTGAAGGATACCTTACCCCTTGCTCCTTTAATTTGTTTATGATATGTCCTTTTCTAACTGTGTTTTGCATTTATTTAGATGAGAACTTTCTGTGGTATGAGATGTTGGTCTTAACCTAATTTCCAGGAAACTGCTTTTCACTATTTCTAGTTGTTTTTGTTGAATAGGGAGTCTTTATTGAAGTAGTTGGTATCTTTGGGTTTATTTAACATTATATTACTGTGTCATTTTGCATCTTCATGTTGCATACTTTTCTATTTCATTAATCAACTTTTCTATTTTTTATCCAGTAACAAATAGTTTTGATGATTACTGCTATGTAGCATAGTTTGAGATCTATTATTTCAGAGCCACCTTCTTACCACTTTTTTCATTATTTTCCTTGAGAGTCTTCCTTCAGATGATCCCCCTCCCCAATTTTATAAAATAACTTTTTCATAGTTTGGTATGGTACTGAAAAATGAATTTAGGTAATATTGCCGTTTTTATTGTATTTGCATGGCTCAAACATGAGTAATGAACATCTCTCTAATTTTTTAAGTCTGCCTTTATTTCTCTAAAGACTTGTTTTGTAGTTGTAGTCGTATCATTCCTGTGTGTCTTGGTAGTTAGACTCACAAATAGTTTGTACGTTTTGTGTATATTTTAAGTGGAATTTTTCTTGCTATCTCTTTTTGCTGGGTTTTATTGATAGAATATGAAATGGCTAATGATTTATGTAGATTTAATTTAGGTTCTGCTGCTTTGTGATGGTTATTGTTTCAGTTAATTTCCTAGTTGACTCTGTAGGGTTCCTTAAGTGAACCATCATATTATCTGCTTAAGGAGTTCATTTTGTTTCCTCTTTGCCGATGCTCAGTTTATTTTACTTGTTTTATGGTTGACATTTAGAAAACTCTATCAAATAATAAAGGTGACAATTAGTATCCTTGTTCTACCCCTGATCTTATCATAAAGACTTGAGCATTTCCCCATTACAGATAAGACATTATTGACCATATTAATGAGTAGTCCTGTTTATTCCTATGCTTTCAAATGTTTTTTTAACATGACTGTTGAATTTTGACTATAGATTTTTCTGCATTTATTGATATAATTATATGATTTTGTTGTTATTAATATGTTATGTTTATAGTTTTCTTAATACTGACTCAGTCTTGCATTCCTGGTATTAAATCCAACCTGGCCATAGTGTATAATCTTTGCGATATATTGATGTAGTTTTAATTTTTAAATTACAAAATCAAATTTAACATTGTAGTGACAGAAATGCCTTGTTTGTGCCCTTTCCTGAACTTTCTCTTGTCATCTGTGTACTTGATGCTTTATTGATGCTTTTTTTCTCCTCTGTCACTACCCACTAACTAACTCCTCTCCTCCCCTGTAGAAGCCCTCCATTGTAACGAATTATTACAGTGCAGCAAAACATTTCAACACATTGACCATAACTGAATTGCATATTTCATTCAGTATGCTTAGTGTGTTACCGCCTCTGACCAGAGAGGGGCAGCATGTCTGCATCAGTCTTCAGACATCATGGTGCGTTATGGCATTGATTGGACTTTTGTACTCTTTCACAGTTGTTTCTCTTCACATTTTTTGTTGTGGTCGTTGTGTATTTTTTTTCTGCTCCTTTTACTTCAGCAGCTGTTTATACTAGCCTTCCCAGGTTTTCTGATCTTGTCATGTTTGTCATTTCTTAAGGTACAGTAATGTTCTGTTACATTCATCTGCTTCAGTTTGTTCAACCATTCTCCACTTGTTGGGCACTCACTTTGTTTTCAAGTCATTCCTACAACCAAAAGTACTATGATAAATATTTTTGTACACATGGGTCCTCTCGTGATTCTGCTTTAAATCCCTGGTATTATTATCTGTTAAACAGTTCATTTAAATGGCTAAATTCTTTAATTTATTTAGGGCTGTGTTATAGTTTTCATTCCTCACTTAAATTCATTGCAGTATAGGAAACCCATTTATAGCACTCTGATTTCTAATTTGTTTGTCCCTGTGTCTTCAAATTTGCAAAAGACTCAGACCTGATAGAATGACCCTGGTCATCGTAGGTGCTTCGGGACATCTCTGAAGCAATAGGTCTCTGCTGTGCTATACCAAGATAGCCAGATATAATACCAAAGGAATAGTATGTTTTTGATTTAAAACTGTTTTCTAACTTAAAACTTGAAAATTTTTTTCAATAGGCCGTCAAACAGATATCTACCGATAACCTTCAGTTACTAACTAAACTGGTCTTGAAGTTCGATACACCAGATAAAATAGACGATTAGTTCCTGTACTCTCACAGTTCTCTTACTTTAGTAATTCAAGTCCAAAGTATGATGCTTAGCAATCATTAATCCAAACAGAAACAAAAGTGGAGTCTTTTTAAAAACGCTATATAGTTAATTCATTCTAAAGCCTTTACGTGTGTGCTATGCTGTGCTAAGTACTAGGAATTTAAAGACAAAAACATAGTCTCTTCCCTCAAGGAGCTTATATTCTGCTGGAGAGAAATATGTACACATAAAAGTAGCAGATAGAGGGTATTCAAAAAGTCTTGGTTCAATTTTAAGATATTAAAGTGGTATTAGGCCATTAATGCTCAAAACTCCACTAAGACTTTCCGAATACCCTTTAAATGCAAAGTAAACACAAAATCATGTCTGGGTGCCCCAGGAAAAGCCTCCTGTTGGAGGGGGTACTTGAACAGAACCTTGAAGGAAGCAGGGGAGAGAATGCATTCTAGGCATGGGGGACAGTCTACAAAGGCTTGGAGACAGAGGAGAGCGATTGTTCTGTGCAGGGAACAGCAGATAACGCCATTTGGACGAGAATGTAGAATTTATGATGGCCAGTAATCTGGACTCAGCTTGCTAAAGGTGATGGGAGCCATGTTGCCTGTTGGACATTTCCAGCTGGATTCCCAAAGGCATCCACAACAGAATTTGGTATCTCCCCTTACGCCAACCACCTCACTCCTCTTCCTAATCCTTGTTTCTGTTGAGGGTACCACCATCTCTCTAGTCACTCAGGTTCTCAGCATTGAAGTCTGCCTAAACCAGGAATGAGGAACTTGTAGCCTCGAGGACACATGTGACCCCCAAAGTACTGAATCCAAAGTTCGCAGTACAAATCCCCTTAATAAAAGGATTTGTTCTGTAAAGCTTGGACTCAGTCAAAAGGCCACACCAAAGGACCTAGAAGGCCATATGTGGCCTGGAGGTCACAGGTTCCCCACCCCTGTAAATCTCTCCATTCTCACTGATACTTCTCCCCACTGCCCTCCCCCCCATCTAATCAGTTGCCATGTCTTACTGATTTTTCTTCTGCAACGTCTAGCATTTGCTCCCTCCCCTTTACTTACATGACCACTCCTTAGTTCAGGCTTCCAGCCTGTCTCCTTTAAACTATTGCAGTAGCCTTGGAATTGGTATGTCAGTCTCATATTCTCTCTCTCCAGGTCAGTCTCCAGCATATCTGTTGAATTGACATTCCTAATGCACAACTCTAAGCCATGTTACTTTCTTGCTCAGAAAGTCCCAGTGGCCTTCTATTAATGTCTAGAATAAAATCCAGACCCTCAGTTTGGCATTTAAAACCAATCTCAGAAACTTTAAGTAAATACATAAATGCACACACATACATATTTTATTAGGGCGTGTGTGTGTGTGTGTGTGTGTGTGTGTGTGTGTGATATCAATAACATGTCAAAGAAAGCTTTAATTTATTTAGGTAAGTTATTTGCCTCAGTCACTATAATAATTATCTTTAGATTACTCTAGACTCTGTACTGTGTTATAAGTGTCTTGGTGAAAAGATAATATTTGGATATAAAGATAATATTTGGAGCAAAATTCCCAAGTTAACAGCATGTAATCATATCTTTGAAAGATTCATTTTTAGTGGCTCTAAAGGAATTGTTTTTATCTAAGGTCAAATGGTATTTTGTATTATTCTGATGAGGTAATTTGAAAATATTTATTAATTACAAATTCAAATGATTTTCTAAAATGTTTATAATTCTCCTATATGTTAATATGCAGGACAGAATCCAGATAGTCGATTCCTTCATGGTACAGAAATGAAGTCAGACCAAAATCAAAAAAGGCAGGAAAATGGAGTAACCTTAGCGCCAGAGGATACTTTGCCTTTTTTGAAGTGCCACTGTTCAGGACATTGCCCAGATGATGCTATTAATAACACATGCATGTGAGTATTATGTGTAAGAGGCCTTACAGTGGCCATAATAGTGCTAGGTACGGAATGCTCTAAGTTTGCCCACCTATTGTAAGGACATTTTAACTAAATAGTCTAATAATAGTTAATTTTACGTGATAGCTTTCATCTTAGAAGATTCAAAATGCTTTCCCTTTTGCATATAATAGAGCATATTGCTTAGCGAGTAAGACTCCCTTTCTCTTCTCCCCTCTGCCCTTTTCCTTCCCGTTCCCCCCTCTCCTTTCCCCCTCTTTCTCTTTGTCTTCCTCTCCTTCTTTCTCCCTCTGCCTCCCTCCTCCCTATCTGGCCCAGGCTGGAAGTACAGTAGCCATTCATGGATCTGGACCCCACCACCGATCAGCATGGAAGCTTTGACCTGTTCCATTTCAGACCTGGGTTGCTTTGCCTTTCCTTACAGAGCCTGCCTGCTCCCCCAAGCCCCTGGGGCTCACATATTGGTCTTAAATTTCGTGTGGACACCTGATTGGCTTTAGCCGTACAGCATTCAGAATTCACAAACTCACAGAACTCACCAGCCTCCTCCTCTTCAGTAGTAGGAATTACAGACATGCTGCACTGGAGGCACCTGTTTTTTTAGAGAAACATCACAACTGATTTGGGTTCAATCCCACTGCCTGAAACCACTAGCCATGTGGCTTTGGGGAAGCCAATCTCTTAGAACCTTTGTTTTCTCGTCTCTGAGAATAATATTTCCTTAGACTCACTACCTCACAAGAGAGTTGTAAAGAAAGCACCTGGCAAGTTACAGTGTAGCACATGAATATGAGTTGTTATTATTAACATAGTTTTTCAAAGGGAAATGAAAGAAATGGAGTCCAATGTTTTCACTCATCTGGCTCCACTTGAAGAGATATTAATAAAGAACCTTATATATTCCCCTCCAAAAAGAATTATGGTGTACCTGTTTTTATAAACTTGTCAGACTTTCATGTGAAACCTTACTGAGCCTGAGTTTGCATGTCTCTGGAGTGGGATATGGGACAGGTGACTTCACTGATATGGGAAGCTCCCTCTGAGGAAATGCTCTCTACCAGCTCCCCATGGTACCTTCTGTGCATCTGGTGACCTTCCCAGGTGGCCTTGAGCTCTCAGAGGTGCAGAAGCTGGCTCAGAATCCCTCAGTCACCACGTGTCACAGGCAGAGCTTGACCAGGTTTGAGGCCAGCTCTCTGTCCACTAGGCCAGAGGTGTCAGACTCACTGCCTTAGTGCTTCAGAAACAAGATTAAAAGAAAATTGGGATATGTGCCCCCAAATAAATAAAATACAATACAACCTAGGGGGTGTTACCCTGCAGTTTTCTAAGTCACTGTGCAGCCAAAGGGATCATTTCTATTTGAGTTTGCACCATTGCATTAGGTCATACTGCCTCTTCCATAAGTCAGACTTACCTAAATAGCTCTTATCATGTAAGCCTAAAACACGAATAAAAATGGGGATGGAAACCAGAATTTCTTTGGGGAAAGGGTTATAGTTCATGTTATTTTAAAAAGAAAGAAAGAAACTGACCATGTTATATGACAGGTGGGACCCAAGGTAATGTAGTTTTCACTTTCTCCCAAATCAGAGTACTTTTCTTCATTGCTGGAAGGAAAAAGGTGCAGGGGTGAATTCACAGATGCTTAGAATATTAAATGAGTGTTGTATGTCCCAGGGGATGATTTTAGATGTGGTGGTGTAAATAAATTGTTCCATGAAGTTATAAATGCAAAAGGAAAACCTTACTCAGGCAGTGTATGTAAATTAGGCTGTTGAGTTGCCCAGCTTTACTAGTTTGTTGGCTTTTACATCTCGAAGAAAAAGTTGATGAATAATGTGTTCTTAACAGTTGTGTAATTCTGCATGGATTTTGAATGTGAACGAGTTGTCAGATTTAAGGTATTTGGGCTTCACTGAATTTTAGAATGTTTTGTAGTACCAAAATTCTTTGCTGCCTGGAGTCTGTTCTGTGCTTGTCTTTGGTTTGTCTGCCCCCTGGTGGTGATTAGCGTTATTTTGTGCTGAGGCAGCGTCTCGCTTTGAGAGGCCGCAGGAGTTTGACCGGGAAAGCTTTTCAGAGAGCTGCATCCCACCAGTTTTTCAGAAAGTCGGACTGTATTTTCTGTTGCCCGTATTTTTCTGCAGTAAGCCCATTCTCCCATAAAAACATCAGTATTGTTCAAAGACGTTCTGAGTTGCCAAGGAGTTGGCATATTATACTGAGGCAGCGTGGTGGGGGAAAATTAGTGCACTCCCTGTCTAGAAAGCTGCATCCTAGTCCTTGTTCAGCTGTTAATCTGACATTGCCTCGTTTATCCTGCTGGTCTTAATTCAGACAAAGCTGGAGAGCATCTATTTGCCTGGCCACTTTGTTTTAAACTTTACCTTAGATGCCTGTGAATACCACTCATTTAGTAAAGAGTAGGGCTAAGAGAAGTGTGCAGTTGTGTTGAAGCCCAGTAGAATTAGTACATTTTCAATGGAAGTCTTTGCATTTCTTTCAGAACCAATGGTCATTGCTTTGCCATCATAGAAGAAGATGATCAAGGAGAAACTACATTAGCTTCAGGCTGTATGAAGTATGAAGGTTCAGATTTTCAGTGCAAGGTAAGATCTAATTTGAGACCTATGAAATCAAATTGTTCAGCAAGCTGCCATGTTGAAAATGGTGACGAGAATCGGGTTAGCACAGTTCTGTGCACTTGTATCAGTTCTGTACACTACAACCTTAGTTTGCTTATCTGTAAAATGAGTCCAAATCCATTGATTTTAGAAACCAATTCAAGCTCCAATGATCTGTTATATTGTTTAATTAAATGTCTTGGGGAAGAATGGGCTTCATTGCAATTTGTGATTCTAGATATATACTGGTTATTTATTTTTAAAATTATGACAGTTTTTCCATTTCCAAATGTTGGGTGGGACTCAGGGTAGGTATTTTCACCAAAAAAACTCCCAAACTCTTCAACTGAATTTTTCATAATTTCTGAGAGTATTTTTCATTATTGTTCATGTGTATATTATGAGATTAGTCATTACTGTTTTATAGATTTGAAGATGAAGTCACTGAGAAATAGCTTACTTAATGCCACACAAAGGCTCAAGAAAACTGGAGTTCATCATTCAGTCCCTTGAATCATACACTCTTTTTGGGGTGAAAAGTCAGATGGACTTTTTTAATCAGGAGAAGCAAAACCAAGAAGATGTTTTGCATTAGTGCTTTAATGATTACAAGGGCAGAGGTAGCTCCTCATCGAGAACACCTGTGTCTTGAGACCCCCCCCCCCCCCAAAATAAAAGTGACTTACTCTTACCTTTCAACCTGGGGAGTTTATCTAGAAAGGGCTGGTTTCCAGGGCAGCAGTCTTCTACACTATCTTTAAAACTCAGAAACATTTCAAAATATTGAAGTTTATGAAATAAACCAAATATAAATTTAGGAAACACTTACCTGGTTGATTGATAGAGGAGAAGAGGTCATATAGTTAGGGGTGATGCAGAAGGGCTGTGACAAACAGTGTGAAGACTTAGTGGTGAGAGCTAAGACAACCAAGGGAAGTCCTTGGGTTCTGAACCCATTCATAATTATGCTAATGAGGTTAATTTTTTCAGAGATGTCCTTCAGAAATGAAGATCTGATGGGAGGGCCTCATCATACTAAGCCTCAAACATGTTACAGAATAAACTTTAGTGAAATCTTTCCTTCCAAATGTACATGTGTATCTGTGTCATTGTTTCTACCTCCGCAGTGCTTTTCACACAGTCGTTACCTATTTCCTGGGCTTGGAGTGCTCTTCCTCCCTACCTTCTAGTTCTTGACCTCCGTGGCGTCTTTCAAAACTCAGTTAAAATGACTTTGCCTTCTGCAAAAGGATGTTTAGCTCTCTCAGGCTATGTATTCTTTCCCTCAAGGGTTATCTTCTTTCTACTCTCTATGTTTCTTGTGTGTACTTTGAAATCTCTGTATCTAAAATGACCAAAGGATATGAATAGGCAGCTTTCAGAGGAGGAAATTAAAGCTATCTATAGTCATGTGAAAAAATGCTTTAAATCACTAGAGAAATGCAAATCAAAACAACTCTGAGGTACCACATCACACCTATCAGATTGACCAACATGACAAAACAGGAAAATGATAAATCTTGGAGCAGATGTGGGAAAATTGGAACACTAATACATTATTGGAGTTATGAACTGATCTAACCATTCTGGAGAGCAGTTTGGAACTATGCCCAAAAAGCTATAAAATTGTGCATACCCTTTGACCAGCAATAGCACTTCTAGGGCTGTATCCCAAAGAGATCATAGAAACGGGAAAAGGACCCACATGTACAAAAGTATTTATAGCAGCTCTTTTTGTGCTGGCAAAGAATTAGAAATTGAGGGGATTACCTATCAGTTGAGGAGTGGCTGAACAAATTGTAGCATATGAATGTAATAGAATGCTATTGTGCTATAAGAAATAATGAGCAGGCAGACTTCAGAAAACCCTGGAAAGACATATATGAACTGATGCTGAGTGAAATGAGCAGAACTAGGAGAACATTGGACGCAGTAACAGCTACATTGTGTGATGACGACTGACCTTGATAGATTTAGCTCTTCTCAGCAATGCAAGGGCAGGAACTGTCTTCTGCTTTTCTTCTTATCCTTAGCTTAAAATCGTGACTGGCACATAGTAGGCACTTAGTAAATGTTAATGGACTGACTCTACCTATTTATTTACACCTCCCCTACTTGTATATAAGCTCCTTGAGGGTAAGAACTGTTGTGATTTTGTCTTTGTATCCCAGTGCTTAGTACTTAGTACTCTGCCTAGTGCACAGTAAATGCTTATGGAGTAAAACATTCAAGTTTTAGTATGGAAAGCTGCTATACAGACTCAGTCAATAAGCATTTATTAAGCACCTACTATGTGCCAGACACCATGCTAAACATTAGGGATTCAAAGAAAGGCAAAAGACAGTCTCTGCTTTTGAGGAGGTCACCACCTAATGGAGGAGTCAACTTTCAAATGAATATGTACAAACAAGCTATTCACAGGGTAGATAGGAAATAATCTGGAGAAGGAAGGCACTAGAATTAAGAGGGATTGGGAAAAGTTTCCTTTAAAAACTAAGATTTAAATCTATAATCTCAATTTATTTGTATGTAATATTCTATCAGGATCTATAGAAGGAGAATATATGATTCTATCCTGGTGTTTCCTGAGCTTCAATGTAATATTTCAGCCAAAATTCAGCTGAATTTTCCTTCTCTACCATGCATTCTAGTATTTGTATCTTTGGTACAGTTCTTGGCACAAAATAATCACTTAATTCATTTATTCATTTTTTGGTATAGATCTTTCCAGAGCTGTGACAATAATGAAATCTATGGAATCTGCTTATCATGTTGAAACATTGATATTTTTCACACTTTTCCTCCTCCAGGATTCACCCAAAGCTCAGCTACGGAGGACAATTGAATGTTGCCGAACCAATTTGTGTAACCAATATTTGCAGCCTACACTACCCCCTGTTGTTATAGGTAGGTTAATTGACTAAAGAAAGAGTAGAACCTAAAGGTCCCAAATTGAAATGTTACATGCAGTGCCTTTTGTTACTAATAAATGGAATACCCTTTATCATTATGCCATGTATTTGAAGCCCAGTGTATTCACTGCATTTGAAAGTATGTTAGCTGTTAGCAGATTTGCTAATGATCAGCTTTTATGCTTTCTCAACGTTCTCTCTCAACCTCGGACATTAGACCTTTCAGTGTTACCAAATTAATTTGTTCATAGATATATGGCATATTGAATTGAAAAATTTCTCCTTTGTTCACTGAGAAAGCTTTGTATACAGGTACAGTTTTTGTTCATTATGATGCAAGTATCTTCCATGAAAGAAGAGTTAAATCACGCAGACTACGCAGTTCAGTGCCCTGATCTGTCAATAGACCAATTTTTATTGCCCTTTTGTTTATAAATACATTTCAAAAGAAGTATTAGAAATTGGGGGAAGAAAATATGAGACTATTAATAGCGATCTTTGTTTTTTCTCAAACTTCTGGTATGTCATTGAATTATAATGCTGTCTTTTTCTCAAAATCAGATGTTATAAAAATTGAAAAGACTACATTGACTGTAAAGTAATCCCTTCTTGAGGCTCTCTAGACCACTGGTGTTTTTTATGATTTGTTTTAGGTCCATTTTTTGATGGTAGTGTTCGTTGGCTGGCTGTCCTTGTTTCTATGGCTGTGTGCATAATTGCTATGATCATCTTCTTCAGCTGCTTTTGTTACAAGTAAGAACTGTGCTTTATTAATAAAATTGAAGTGGATTTTTGTCATACTTGGAAAAGAAAGACAGACCCCTTAATCTGGTCTAATTGTTTCAAATAATGTCGTTGTGAAAGAAATAGGAGACGTGAGAAGTTGAGAAACTCTTTATATGACTTTGCATTTCCCACCTTTTTCTCACATAAGAAAGTTCTGTCTCCTTGCCCCCTTTATCAGGCCTTTGAGGGCTTCTTTTTCGTCCAGGCCCCACAAGTGACTGACATGGTTTGGGTTTGAGTTATCAGGTATTGCAGAAGAAAGGATAACTGACAAACCCTCTGCTCCTCTGTACCGTAAATGCTTCTGATGATTTTCTTATTACTCATTGCCCTTCCTTACTTGCAGATTAGTAGTTTTTTCACAGAATCTACTCACATTGTAAGTTTTTAAGTGATTTTTGGCTTAAAAAATAACTGTTTAACTTCAGTCTCTTGTAGGTGATGGTGAATATTTTGAATGTCACTTGGTATTTAAATCCTGTTTTGTTCAAGAATTTTATTCTAACATTGCTTTCTTTTTATTTTCAATCAACTTTTAATGTATTTTCTAAATTTTGCCCCTTTGACTCTCTTCCACTGCTGAATTAAAAAAAAAATACCACAAATTGAATTTGCAGCATGGAGTATTTAGATAACACATAACTAGTATTCTCTAATGAGAAGTTTAAAGTGTTAGAATGACTTACTGAGGGGGAGCCTGCGTGCCTGCTTGCCCTAACTATGGTAATACTCCTTTGGAAGTATTTTTAGAATAAGATGGACTCCCATACACAGGGCTAACTCACCTGGATATGTTTCTGTCTAAAAGCAGGAGGAGACAATAAACTTGAGAGATTTTTTTTTTTTTTTATAGTTTTTAGGCAGTTGGGGTTAAGTGACTTGCACAGGGTCACACAGCTAGTGTCGAGTGTTTGGTCTGAGGCCGGATTTGAACTCAGATTCTCCTGACTTCAGGGCTGGTGCTCTGTCCGCTGTGCCACCTAGCTGCCCAGAGAGACTTTCAGAGCATATAATTCAGTGTGCACTATTTTTCACTTAGCATTGTTGTCTTTTTTTTAAGGCATTACTGCAAAAGAATAGCAAGAAGCCATTGCTACAATCGGGACCTAGAACAAGATGAAGCTTTTATACCAGTTGGAGAGTCATTGAAAGACCTTATTGACCAGTCACAAAGTTCTGGCAGTGGATCTGGACTTCCTTTGCTGGTAAATATAGTGTTTTCCCTCATTCTTCAGTAATGTTTCTGTTGAATAAAACACTTACTCCAGTTTACCATCCACCTTTACAAAAATAATGCATGTTTACATATGTATTTTATGTATGGTAGCTTTACTTTTGTTCGTAGGCAAAATTTTCTTACAACAAATTCCATGGGGCATTCAACCTATTTTATTAAAATAAAATTCATTGGTTTCTAAGGACCCTTATCTCATAAAATTTTGTGATCTATGATCTGTGAAGCTCAATCCCAGCCTTTAGTATCTGGAGAGGAAACACATGCTAAAACCTTCTGTCTATGGTGAAAAACAGCTCTCTCAGATTCAATTGGCCAGTGATTCTTAGACCTGTCTGTCCAGATCTAATATCTCTCCTCACTTCCAGTTTCACATTTCCAGCTGCCTATAGAGATCTCAAACTTAATGGCCCACGGTAATGTTAAACTCACCATGGCCAAAATGGATCTCGTTATCTTTACCCCAGAAACCTTCCTGTCTTCCAAATTTTCTTATTGCTATCAGAGGCACCACCATGCTCCCGGTTTCTCAGACCGGCAAGCTAGTGTCATCCTCAATCCCTCACTCTTCCTTACTCTACGTATCTAGTCTGTGGCCAAGTCCTGTCTTTTGCCTTTGTAACCCTTCTTGTGCAGATGCCCCTTGCTGTCCTCTGACCCAGCCACCGCCCTGGGGCAGGTCCATATCAACCTCACGCCTGTACTCTTGGACTAGCCTGCTAGTTGTTCTGCCTGCCCCAGCCCTCTCTTCGTTCCGGTTCATCCTTCACTCAGTTACCACTATGAACTGTCAGTAGGCATAGTTGGATATACAGAATTTGTGGTAATGCGTGTTGCAGTGTCAAGTACCAAATTTTAAGCTATTCATTGTGATTTTAAAAGTAATCATTTTGAAGTGAATGTAGTCTGAGCAGTCTTCAGTTTTTTTTCCAAGAGCAAATGAACTCTTTTTTTTCCCTTGTTTATTTTTTTTACTCTCTTTAACAACTGTGCGGTTAATTATCACCTCTGTATGGATGACTCCCAGATCTCTTTACCCATCTCCTGAGTTCCAGTCCTATGTTAACCAGTTGCTCTTTGGATATTTCAGACTAGATGTTCCAAAGGCCATATGTCCAAAACTGAACCTCCCCCGCCTTCTTCTTCTGAACTTCCCTGTTTCCACAGAGAGTAGTACAGCCCGTCCAGTCAGCCCGACTTGAAGCCATCTTCCTCACCTTACATAATTACTCACTTGCTAAGTCTTGTCAAGTCTGCCTGCAGAGCTTCTATCTTATCTGGCCCCTTCTTTCTATTCATGCCTCAACCACGCCATCCAAGTTTAGGCCTTCATTACCTTGTGCCTGGACTGGTCTCTAGTGTCTTCCCTCCCAGCCTGTTCTCCTCATCGCTGGAAAAATGATCATCACAAACCATGGTCTGATATGCCATTCCCCTGCTCCAGAAACGATCAGTTATCTTTATTCCTCTCCTGAGTATTTAAATAAAATCCTTTATGGGCTAGTTCCAACTGGTTTTTTTTAGGCTTATTATATCTTATTCTCTTTTACATAATTTACATTCTGTGCAAGCTGACTCCTTTTCCTATTCGTCTGTCTCTTATCTTCTTGCTTTTTAAAAAATTACCAAGCATTGATTTTTATTCTTTCTATCCACTGGGGGGGAGCAGGCAAAAATAAAAATAAAAACACAGTCCTTGTAACAAACATAGTCAAACAAAACAAATTACCTTATTGGCCATATACAAAAACAAGTCTCATTCTGCATATAGTTCAAGACTTCTCTGCCAGGAGGTAAGTAGCATTCCTTATCATCGATCTTCAGGAATCATGGTCATTTGTTGCATTGATTAGCGTTCTTAAGTGTTTCAAATTTGTTCATTTTATAGTGTTATAGTATAAATTACTCTCTTTCTTCTTATATCACTTTGCATCAGTCCATTATATATATATATATGTGTGTGTGTGTGTGTGTATATATATATGAAACTGTATCATATATAATTTCTAACAGGAATGAAGTAGTATTTCATTACATTTATATGCCATCATTGGTTCATCCTCTCATTTGATGGGCAGCTCCTTAGTTTCAATTCTTTGCTACTACAAAAAGAGATTCTGTGAATATTTTTGTACAATAGGACCTTGTTTTCTTCTTTGATCTCTTTGAGGTATAGACTTACTTCTGTCATAGATGCTTAATTCTTGTTGATTGATTTACTGCTCTTGGCACTATAGAAATAAGGAAGAAATATATTTATATTTTTTACTGGACCTATGATTTTAATTGTACAGAGAACCCTCAACGAGTGAATTCTGTCTACCAGTGCTGATCAGCTCCTGCTCTTCGGTTTATAGCATGGGTCACCAGGAAGTGAAGCCAGTCGTTCAGGGTCACAAGGCCAGTGTATAGAAATAGGACTTGCACCTAGGCCTTCTTGTCTCAGGAGTTAGTTCTCTCTCTGTGATGCCACGCTACGATATCATACATACAAGAGTTCCTGATTTTTGGATATAATTATGCATTATGTTTTCTTTTTATTTGGTGTTATTAATATTTAGTGAGCTCAGTATATTATCTTTCCTAATAATATCAGTACCTAGCTGACCTTTTAGATGAGGGCACTTTGGCAGGCAGATGAACTTGTAATAAGTTTTAACCTAAATTCTTTTTTCAAGGGATTAAAAAAATGCCAAAACAATTTTTTCCCCTGACAGGTTCAACGAACTATCGCGAAGCAGATTCAGATGGTTCGACAGGTGGGAAAGGGTCGCTATGGAGAGGTGTGGATGGGGAAATGGAGGGGTGAAAAGGTGGCGGTCAAAGTGTTCTTCACCACTGAAGAGGCCAGTTGGTTTCGGGAAACGGAGATCTATCAAACTGTTCTAATGCGTCATGAGAATATCCTCGGTAAGCAGATTTGGCCTTGGAAGAAAAAGTATTGAGTCAAGTTGTAGAGGGGCGTAGTAGTTAAATACTGATGATGTGTGAAAATACTTTAAAAATCAGGGTATATAGTATTTGTAAGTTATTTGAAACAAAGATCATATTGACCTTATTTTTGCATCATATCCTTGTTATGTAGACAGTACTGTATGAAGGTTTTTAACCTTACTTCTTCATGTATGATAGTTCCATTTTGACCCCTTATTTGATTTCCATGCTCTTAGTTTGGAGGCATTGTTTAAGGTCTTAATGAGACCTATTGACCACAAGAAGCAAAAAAAGTAAGATAAATGGGCAAAAGGAAACTGACTTCAATTCAGGACTCATTCTTTTGATGTATCTCATGGCTAATTATAGGAATGGCCCCAAATCCTATCTTAGCTTGCCTTTTTTTTTTTTTTTAAACAAAGCAGACTCAGGCTCATGAGAATATCAAAATTAGAAGGAACCCTTTGCCATCAGTCCGGCCCATACTTGAGCAGGAGACCCAAAAGTGAACCTCTCACTTCCATTTGAATACCTTCGGTAATGGTGGACTCAGGATTCTCTTGGGGCATCTCTGTTTGTCAGTAAGGGCTTCCTCATGTGAATCCCTGGTCTGTCATTGCAGTTTCCACGCCCTCTTCCTGTTTCTCTTCTCTGGAGCCAAACAGACCAAGGCTCATCCCCTTTGCTATGTCATAGGCCTTCAGATACTTCAGGGTGGCAGTCATGTCCTCCCTTCTGGCTTAACATCCTGAATGCCCTTATTTGATCCTTAGGATTTTAAGTTCCCTCACCATCCTTAGTACTGTTCTTCTCTGGACGTAGTCCATCTTCTGGTACCTAGATTGTGTCTGTGACTGAGGATGGCAGGAGGTTCCCCTCCCCTCTATACCATGCACATTATGAATGCAGCCTGAGACGGGATTCCCTTTTTGGCCAGCCATTTCACCTAAACCCTGCACTTCTGCAAGGGAGTTTGTTTGTAGTTTAACTCCATTCTTTTCTCTCTAAGCTTCCCTCATAGTCTTAAGGGAAACTTTGGTTTAGGAAGATAAATTTCCCCAGATCTTCATGAAGCAGGTAATTTTACCCTTTATTATAAAGCATGCTGCATTTTATATGCGAGGATGTCACAGACTCGGAGCTGCAGTGGCAAGGCCATTTTACAGGTGACCGAGCTAGGAAGGTCCTGGGAGGTTAAAGCATCAGAGGCAGGATCTGAACCCCAGGCCTATGATTCCAGGCTAGTGCTCCACCACATTGCCTGCCATATTGCATAGACATTCAGTGATGGGAAGCAAACGTTTTTGTCAGGGATTCCTATATCCAGGCAGAGTCAGATTTCAGTTACCTTCTGGAGAGTCAAAACCAGCTCATCAAACTTGTGCTTCATTAATCGGACAGGTTTTATCGCGGCTGACATCAAGGGCACAGGCTCTTGGACACAGTTGTACTTGATCACCGACTACCACGAAAACGGATCTCTGTACGACTTCCTGAAGTGTACCACCCTGGACACCAGGGCTCTCCTCAAATTGGCATATTCAGCTGCTTGTGGTCTGTGCCATCTCCACACAGAGATCTATGGTACCCAAGGAAAGCCTGCAATTGCCCACCGAGACCTGAAGAGCAAAAATATCTTGATCAAGAAAAATGGGAGTTGTTGTATTGCTGACTTGGGCCTTGCTGTGAAATTTAACAGGTAGTACTTTGTGGGGACCCCCCCCTGCCCCCACGTACCCAAGGTTGAGAGTCTTCATGCCTCAAAGGAGAAGGGTCTGCTTAGGTCATATAGATGTGATTCAGAGATGCTTGTGTAGATGCTCATGTGCTCTTTATGCAGGGGAAGGCATGATGCCACTGTCCCTTTGCAGTGGCAGTGCCCCGTCCATCACAGGGCTCTCCCTTCTGTGCCTTGGAGGAGCCAAGACTGTATGTTCAGGAGTCTGTCTTTGTGTGTGTGTGTGTGTGTGTGTGCGTGTGTTTAATAAAAACTATAAAAATAGTATTTTTGTTTGGGGTTTAATTGAGCTAAAGTAGTTTCTTTTCTTGCCAACTGAAAAAAAAAATGAAGGTTTCCTTTTACTTCTTCACAAATGATATCTGGATCAGAAATTGACAAGAGACATTAAGTAAAAGGAAAAATAAGAGGTGACTTAAGTTTCCAACTACGATTCATAGTAAGGTATTAAGAAATTGAAAAAAAAATAGCTTCTGCCCAGGTGGAGGTGACCGACCCAAAGGGTCGAGGCACTTTTTTATTTAAACATGGCCAACAAGGGAATTTGTTGTGCTTGACTCTGCCTTTTTATAACGGGGTTGGGTGTTTTTCTGGCTTTCTCAGTGGACCATGGGGCAGGGTAGGAGGGAGAGAAGGTAGAATTTTGTGGGAAAAAAATGAATTTAGAAAGAAAGAAAGTAGCTTAGTTTGAAACCGTGTCCTTAAGCAACAGAGAACCAAACACATGGTATCCTAAAGGCCAAATACGAGAAATAGAACAGTAATATTACTACATTATGTAACTACATTTTTCCATATCATAGATAATTCAGTCTACATGTTTGAGCTTTGTTGTATGGCCACAAACTAACTTTAAGAAAATGGAAAATAAATATATTTGTACTGCCCTCTGACTTTGTGGTGGTTTTTTCTCTCTTTCAGTGATACAAACGAAGTTGATGTCCCTTTGAACACCAGAGTAGGTACAAAGCGTTACATGGCCCCAGAAGTGCTCGATGAAAGCCTGAATAAAAATCACTTTCAGCCATACATCATGGCCGACATCTATAGCTTTGGACTGATCATGTGGGAGATGGCTCGTCGCTGTGTCACAGGAGGTAGGTGTTCATGTGATGCTGCCAGGAGATGAACAGCACGCCATGCCTGTTTAAGTTATATAATTAAAATATCTTTATTACACTTTTTTCTTGGGGAGAAATGGATTTATTGAATTAAAGGAAATTGCAGAAGACATTTTGGAGAAGAGATACTTTGGGGACGGGTCAGAACCTTTGTTGAGGAAGAAAAAAATAATCTTTTAACTGGGAATATTGAAGGAAGAGGTTCACTGTAGTGGAAAGAGTCCTGGACCTGGGTTCAAATCCTGACTGTGCTCTTTACTAACTCTGACCTTAGAGCATTTACTTACCTCCAGAAACTGCATGTAGAAACAGATACTTAAATTAGGCCTCAAAGGAAACAAGGGAGCCTAAGAAGCACGAAGGTGAAGGGGGGAAGACCTTGTAGGCACTGGGGGCAGCCTGTTCAAGGGGATCAGTAGGGAAAATGGAGTACTGGGTGGGGAGACTAGGATGGAATCGATTTTGGATTGTAGTGTGTGTGAAAAGGGAAGAGAGTGTCATCAGGCTGGAAAGGTGGCATGGGGCCAGGTTGTGAAAGACTTGTAGTGCCAGACAGGAGCGCATAGCTGGTCTCAGAAGTAATAAGGCGCCACTAGAGTTTTAGTAGGAGAAAGATATGGGTAGGTCTGTACTTTAGGAAAACCTCTTTGGCGGCCATGTGAAGGTTGATTGAAGTGGGCAGGCAGAGCAGTTCGGAGGTTATTGCAGAGCAGTTCAGGTGAGAGATGATGAAGGCTTGAACTATGGTGGTGGCTGTGTGAGTGGAGAGATAGAAAGGTTCTCGGGCGCTGTGGTTGTGATAGAAGATTTGGCAGGTGATTGTCAAATGTGGAGTGAGACAAGAATGGAGTAGGACACAGAATTTGGGAATCTGAGTAACTGGAAGCCTGGTGGTTCCCCTTTGGAAGAGGGTTGGGTTTGGAAGTAAAAGTTATGTTTTGGATGTGTTAAACCTGAGATGCTATGGGACATCTAGTTTGGATTATGTGGGGCTTGAACTTAGCAGAAATACTAATAGAATATAGAGATCTTGGAGTCTTCAGCATAGGGAAAATAGTCAAACCAGTGGGAGTTGTTAAGCTCATCGGTAGAGAGAGAAGAAAAAAAGACCCAGAACAGTCTTAGGATACATCCTAAGAGTACCCCCAAAGGTATACCTTAAGTCCTTTCTGGTTTTGATATTTTGTGATTATGTGAAGTAAATTGGAAGATAAGTGGAAGAAGACCTGTGACAAATATTTTCTAAAGAAACTGTAAACATTTGCACTAAATTCTAGTTAACCTTGATCTAAAGTTTTACTTTGTTATGTAGAAGTAAATTATGCATCCACAGTTGGACTAATTAAGGTTAATTAAATGTAATTACTTTATAGTAGATTTATCAGTTTTGTTCGTTTGTTGCCACTCAGAGTTTTGGATTTTTTCTCCCCATTACAGGCATTGCAGAAGAGTACCAATTGCCTTACTACAACATGGTGCCTCATGATCCTTCCTATGAAGATATGCGTGAGGTTGTATGTGTTAAGCGATTGCGCCCCATCGTGTCCAACCGATGGAATAGTGATGAAGTAAGTTGGAAATTAATTTCTTTGTAGTCACAAGTCTGTAGGAATGTATTCCTTTTTCTTTTCTTATGCTTTTTTAAATGGCATTATCTGTTTTCTCTATGTTTTAGTGTCTAAGAGCTATCTTGAAGCTAATGTCAGAATGCTGGGCCCACAACCCTGCTTCAAGACTTACAGCATTGAGAATCAAGAAGACACTTGCCAAGATGGTTGAGTCTCAAGATGTAAAGATTTGACAATTCCATAACACTCAGGAGCTGCATTGGACTCCAAGAACTTTCTTCACCCAAGCAAAGGGTGGTGATTGAAGTGGGATGAGGAAATTCATGTGGTTCTTGGGACTTTTTCCTCACCACACCTTTACAGGCTGCTAACATGAAACCTTTCAGTACTCTGTAGAATATGATGCTGGGAACTTCTGTTCACTACATGCTACATTTATGGACAGCCTTGTTTTAAACGTGTTTCTTTTTTGTTGGGGGGGAGGAGGGGTTATGAGCGATGTTGAAACTTCAGTCATTGTTCATGAGTCTCCAGTACAACTCTGGGTACTGAATTGCATGTTTATATTATGGTGCTTTCTGTGAAAGCCTTAAGAAGAAAATGAATTCAACAGAGATGGAGAAATATAAGCTTTTGCCTTCTACCTGATAAAACTTAGTCTGTTCATATTATTGCTTTTGTAAAACAGCCTGTAGATTATGAGTCATTTTGGGATACTACTCTGTTTTTAACAGTTTATTGTCTGTGTTGTGTGTGTGCCAGGATTCCTCTGCTGCCATGTGGATTAAGAGAAAAAAATGAGGAATGAATGCCCAGGAAGGTGGGGGTGGTTAGTGCTTTGGGTCTTTGTCATTGTTGCAATAAGACTAGCCAGTCACATAAAAGCCATTTAGCTCATAGGAGAAATCAGCTTCTTTACCCATACCTTTTCTGACCAGGAAAGTTGGTATCGATCGAAAAGCCAGAGAAGCTAAGACCATGTTTCTGAACCTGAGCTTCATTCCTCTTTTCTTTCTTTCTTTGTTTTGGCAATTTTTACTCTGTTATTGTGAAGAGCATAATAACTTTAGTTGGAACTCCCAATGTGATGACTGTGCTGAAGAACAAACTCACTTATTGGGGTGATTTTGATAGCAGTTTAAGTGCCTACGCCCTTGTCCTGTACAGTTTGTTCTGGGTGACTTTGAAAAGGGGAATGACGTGTCTCGTGCACAGTGTGCTTGATTTGCAGGACATCACTCTGCCCTTCACTTTGGGTGGTCATGTTTGTCCACACACATTCATGCCATAGAAGCCAGATCACCCACGCCTCATAGCCCAGGCCACATGCACCTCATAGCCCAGGCTTACACGGTAAAAAGAAAAAAACAACCGACACCCAGAGATAGTTAGGAAGAACATTTATGCATATAAATGTGGATGGGTTTGTGAAAGGAATGCATTGAAATTAGTATCTTCTAACCTAGGCTTTGTTACAATATACTCACAATAACAGCTTTCAATATAATAATTTCATTTAAATTCTTCCTTATAAGAGAAAATTCTAATTGGAAATTTATTTTGCAGAACCTACGTGAACTTACCAACAACTACTAGCTAAGTTCTAGGCCATCTTAGTCATTATTTGAAATTTTGGGGATTTTTAAAAAAAAATATTTTTTCCATCGTTTATAAAGCAGATGCAAAAGGGTCAGGCAAAAAAAAAAAAAGAAATATCAGTGTTTTGCTTTACTATCACAGTGTACAGATTTTATTTAACAAAGTGCTACATATTTTATAGAATCCTAGTTATCTCAAGGGACATTTCTGTTCTATGAAGTCGTTACAGTTTTGTAATGTCTTTTAAGTATTAATGTTATATTCTGGCAGAACAATTCATGGGCCCATTAAGTTAGACTTCAACTTACTTTTGGATGCAGCATAAGACAATAAATGGGGTTGTGCTATAGAAGTACTGAAGACAAAGGGCTGTAATTTTTTAAAATAATAATTTTTAGAGCATTTTTTCCGTCCATTGCCAAAACTTGACTGACATTGAAGGTCGAAGCTATTGAATATTTCCAAGCAGACCAGTTTTGCACAGTTAACTGGAAACTGCTTGGAAAGATTTAACATTTTTACAATCTAAAATAAAGCTTCTCTTTGTCATGTTCTAAGGTTGAAGCATTCTTTTTAAAAAATTGATTTCTGTGTCCCATGGGCTTGTTCTTTCAAAAGAACAGTTTTTCCATCTGTTTCTACAGAGGGACATAGGTACTATAATGTAAAGTGCCATGTGACTCAAGCTCCTTTGTTAGCTCTGACATATTTGTCTAATTTGACCTTAATTTTTTTTGGCCATGACAAAATTACAAACTCTCAAAGAAGTCATTTGTTATTATTAATAAAAACAGAGAAAATATGAAAAATGCAACCTTTCTTCCCAGCAGTTTTTTTAAGATCACAAAATATTTTCAGAAGCAGAATATTAGGCATACTGCATAAATGTCAGAGTTGTGCTCAAGAAACTAGTAGTAGAAAACTGGTTTAAAAATCATAGCATTCAGAAGATCTCAGTAAGAATATTTGTAAGGAACAACATGGTCTTGAAACATAAATGTCGCCTTATTTGGAAACCCTTCTATTCCTTTCTCCTCATTCAAAATTATGTGTTTATTCTGTGTGTGAAATATTTAAAATACAGGGTGTCCCCAAAGTCGAATTGCAGTTTCAAGCTACTTAAGCTAAAAAGCCTTCCTGTGGCTTGGAGGTGACCCTGGTGTTGGATGCCAGTGCAGGTCTCACTGCCTGCAAAGGCTTTAAGGACTTCCCTGGGTTGGAGGAGGGGCCTGTCTCTGTATATGCTTCCTAAAGATCAGCCTATTCAGGTAACCCCGGGCAAGTCCCTCCTGAAGCTTAAATCTGAGCTTAGACGTTGATGTGAGACTGAGCAGAGGGGAGCATGCCTGGTGCCCCTTAACTCTAATGAAACAAGATACGTTGTCTTGAATCAGCTTTCCTTCTAATTGATAAAGGAATTAGATTATTGGTAGAACTAAAGGTACAGTTGAACTTGAAAATGATTTTCAGTTTGTTTATTAGAGACTTATGATACCTTCTTATCAAACAAATATCAGAGGTATGAGAACTAAATTCAGTTTTTCTTATAACTTTTCTGGAATACCTTCCAGCGTGAGTTTTTATTCCCCACCCACTGTGGTCTTTTAACATCAATATTTAAGTAAATTTTTTAAACTTTGAAATGCCTGAAAATAACATTTAACCAAATTGTGTCAGATTTCTTATTTACTATAGCTATATTTAATTTTTTTTTCTGTATGCTAACTTTCCCTTTGGAAATGAAAGCAACAAAAATTTCAAATATTTACCTTGACAGTTTCCCTAGAATCAAAGAGAAAGCCTTGTTTAGAAGTTTTTATTCATTCATCAAACTTTTGTCTAACATCTACAGTGTCTCAAGGTTCTGGAAGAAATACGAAGTTCAGCTAAGGAGATCTTTGCCTATAAAGAATTTATATTTTTTTCTAGGATTGGTTCCCTATTTTAAATCACTGATTTTTTTCTCAAATATATTTAAAGTTGAGTTTTTTCTAAATAGGTAAAGCATTTTGGATAGGAAAAATGCCATATAATTTTAAAATGTCCTTTTGGAATTAAAAGGAAGAGCTACAGTTATTTATTTTGGTCAGATACTGACCGGGCAATCTGTCAGCTTTCCCTCTTGCCTCACTGTTACGAGAAATCAGAGAGAGCACTCCTTAGAGAAGTGGCATGTTTTGTACTTACAGTGGAATTATGTATGACAGGGCGGTACAGAGCCAACATGGGGCACTTTGCCCAGGGAGGCCTATAAGGAAAGTGCGGTTCGTGTTGCTTGAGTAAAGTATACACTATCATCTCATGGTGACTTTAAGCTCCTTCTCTTACACCAGAGGTGTCAAACTCATGGCTGGCCTCATGCTTCCAGCAAAACTCCCGTACAGCCTAACCAGATTAAGATGTCATTGGGAAATGTTTAACAAATTAAATAAAAGTACAATGTAACATAATGTTAATTTATGGTTTTCTAAGTTAACATTTGGCCTATAGGGATCTGTTTCTATTAGAGTTTGACACCACTGCTATACACTACCTTTTAAAAGCCCATCCTAGTGACTGCCCTTGAAATGCCCATTTTAAAATGGAATTGTAGTATATTGTATAAAAAGAAAATAACATTATACCTTACTTAGAGAAAATGTAAATAGAAAATGAAATAAAATAAACAGTTTGATTAAATTCTCACTTAGATACCAGAAGTGTAGATTACGCTTTTAAATGGTAATACACTAAATGTATTTTGTACAGCATCTGGTTTAAAAGGTGCCTTATTAAGTTTACCATGAATTGCTTTGTTCTGTACACAGATTATGTCCAATGTATCATTTTTAAGTAAATAACCTTATTTTAGTACATATTAGTAGTGTGTTTTGTGCTGCCGTACTTTTCTTGTGTTGGGCCCCCAGGTTAGTTTTCTTTCAGAAAAGTCTAGGGGGATTTCCCCATGAAAATGTTTGTTTCTGTACAATACCTAGAAGCCCCTTTCCACCATTAGTAATCTGGTCAGGAGCACAGAGCAGAAGGTTGCTATTTCAGTTCCCCATTATGTAGAAAAGGAAATGTGTACAGTTAACTGTAATATGTCTCCTGAAGTCCCAAGGAGGCATCTGATTTTAGAGATTCGGATTCTCTGAAACAGTGCCAGCAGAATACAGGCTCTGGCCAGCTCCACTGCCTAGAAAGGCTTTAAGCACTGGCTCTGCGTGGCCCTGGGAGTGAGTCACTTCTTTTCAGTGTTTCAGACTAAGTTGCAGAGTTAATGCTGGTCCTCATTGGTGGGGGGAATGTGCTCATCCAGAAATTGCTTAAAGGACCAGCCTGTCTAATCAGGTTTGGAGAGGCTCATCACTAGAAAGTTGACCACTAGATCATTTTTATTTTGGCCTCAGGAACTCGTGAAGACCATCTTTGAAGGTGTGAAAGGTCAGTGTTGTTCGTGGCTTCCACCCATGAAAATTTTTGTAGTAATAATGGTCAGACGGATCAATATGGCCACAGATGACAAACTTTGGAGCTCTTCAACATGTTAACAACACACTTCCCAGCCCCCACCTTGTCTCTCTCTCTTCTCTTGCTAAAGATAAAGCAAGTATGATAGTTAAAATGCAGTTTTATTTCAAGTGATGGTAATTTAGGAATACCTTTATGTTTGAGCTTCACCTTATACCCATTCTTAGCTCATATTCCTACGTTTGTGAGCCCAAGGTATGTGTGGTAGGAGAGGAGGGAAAGATAGAGGGGAAGGGTTAAGGGAGAAAAGAGAAAAAAGTATATTGTGGCAAAGTAATTTGTCAGATCCATCTCATGGATTTCAAAATTAAGTTTAATTTTTTTTCCTTTTGAAATGGGAAAGACCTTGAATAATTCAACCAGAAGATAACAGTTTAACTTTTCCATGGATCAGTTTTATTTAGCTGTTTGGTATGTCCCAAAAGGCTTTTGGAAACCTGAATAGGCGTCTTTGGTAAGTATTCAAGAATATCTATTTTAATATCATTGTGAATCTATCTCCACTAAAGTTCCCCCTATGGGACTCGTCTTGTGTCCCAAAAGTAACCTTCCATTCTTTAAGGTCATGACAGTAGATCACAGACACTGCTTCCAAAATAGGAAGGCTTCAGAGATGGCCTCAACAAAAGATCGTCCTGGGATAAGTGTAGATCAATGCAGAGGGGTTCTTTGCTGAGAGGTCACACCAAGCCATTCATTTGGGGGCTAAAGCAACTAGTGAGAAACAGTAGGTATAAAGTAATTTCTATCTGCTTGGGGGAAGTAGGAATCTGTGAAGTGTAAGTAGTAAGTCAATTTCGTGAAAAATAAAATTACCAATCAGAACTTTGCCATAAAAACTGAAAATGTATAAGCTCACATTGATTTGGGCCACCTTCCCTATTGAATATCACTAATAAGGATATTTAATCTGAGTCTTCCTATCCTGTATAGACTATTGGAATGGCCTCCTAACTGTCCTCCTTGCCTCTCTTCTGTGTCTGATCAGGAGAATCCCCCATGTCTTCCACCTAGCTGCCAAAGTGGTAATCTAACTGTACCTGATCATGTCATTCCCCCCTCAAGATGCCCCGGTGTCTCCTCTGGAATTTAAAACATCCTGACTTGGTTTCAGCCTAGCTCTTCAGGGTCTTTGCTAGTTGCTCTTCATGACCTCTCCATTCTGGCCAAATTGGCTTACCTGAAGTTTCCAGGATAGGACTTTGCACCTCCTGTTCCCATGACTTTGCGTAGACTGTCCCCATGTGTACTCCTTCCTCAGTCTCCATCTTTTAAAGTATCTTGATTTCTTTCAACGTTCATTCTGGGGGTGCTACCATCTGCAAGAAGCTTCTGCCTACCCTAAAGTTACTTTGTACATATTTTGCATTTGTTTCTCTGTGTACCTGTTTTCTCCCTTTCAAAAAAGTGTAAGCTCTTTGGGGGAAGGGATTATGTCTTTTTTTGCTCTCCCCAGCACTTAGCACGATGCCCAGTACATAGTTCATGCTTGGAAAATAGAGCATTGTGGATAAAGGTCAACCCCATTTTCCTCACAAAATACCCATTTACTGACTACAGTTGTGTTCTGTCAAACTGAAGACCAAAGCCAGTTGGTATATCGGTACCTGGTGCCATGATCAGATTTAGCCCTACCCAGACACAATAACAACTAACATTTATATAGTGCTTACTATATGCTGGCCATTGTGCTAAGCACTTCACAAAAATTACAGCCACGGGAGGTACATACTATGATTATCCCCATTTTATAGAAGCAAATAGAGGTGAAGTGACTTGACCAGGATCACATACCTAGTAAATGTCTAAGGCCATATTTGAACTCAGGTCTTCCTGACTCCAGATCCAGCGCTTTATCCACTGCACCACTGGCATCCATTGCACTTAGCTGCCTCACTTCCTTTTTTGCCATAGATGTGACAAAATGAGCTTAGAGTCATAGAATCTCTAACTGGAAAGGCCCTTAGAATCTAGTTCAACTCCTTCATCTGGCAAAGAAGGAGACTAAGGCTAACTTAGCGAAGCGGTAAGTAGCAGGGCCCAGATTCCAACCAGCACTTAACACAGTATTTAGAGCACAGAGTAGATGCTTCCTAAATGAAGGTCAAATTGAGCATGGATCTTTTGACAGAATCTGGTATAATTCCCAATACTCCATGATGCTTCTTCCTTATGATTTGTCATCCAAACTTTCTCAAGGCAGACCTCAAAGTCTGGTATCCCTTGTCAGGATGAATCATAGTAACAGCTGACATTTATTTACGTGGCACTTTACAGACATCCTAGTTTATTCTCACAGCTACCCTGGGAAGAAAACACTAAAACTTGTGGAGGTTAAGTGACTCACTCGTGGTCATTGATGTTCATCCTTCATTTCTGAAGAGAACCAATGATTTCACAGGTGATGTTTTGGCTTGCTTGTGAATTGGATTTAAATGAGGCAGAGATGCAGAAAGTGATCAGCCTCACCCTCTTCCTGAGTCATCAGAGTCCCAGTGGCAAGACAAAAGTCAAGACAACTGGAGATGGCCTGGGATGCAGTGGATGACATAGAGTAATTTCTTTAAAAAAGAAACATGCTGTAACTCAGGTGTTTTACAAATTTTGCTGATATGCTTCTAGACCCAGAATTAGATTTTTGCCACAATAATGGGACAAATTATCCCAAGTCAAGTCAACAAGCATTTATGAAACACTTACCTGGATGCCAGGCACTGTGCTAAGTGCTGCCCTAAATCCTCCCTAGTGAAGGATTTGCAGTCTCTGAAAATCATACTGGGATCCACCAATATATCTATGCATGTGTGGTGCAACACATAGAACTTAGCATATCAAATAATTAAAGAAATTAATAGAAAACCATCAATATAGTTAACACAGCTAGTCTCCTTAGATGTTAAAGCAATTCAGTCACATGTATGCATTAATCTACATCTTTTACATTAGAATTTCATGTAGCCAACCATAGTACACAAAACAACTTTAATTCACTGCACACAATCATAGCATAAATGACAATGTTGCAAATACAAAACCAAAAATACAAATCTCTTGTAATAAATGATACATAGAATGTATAAGAGTTGTGTGCAGTAATCAAATATATAGGTCATGTGGGGCAGCTAGGTGGCGCAGTGGATAGAGCACCGGCCCTGAAGTTGGGAGGACCTGAGTTCAAATCCGGGCTCAGACCAACACTTGACACTTAATAGCTGTGTGACCCTGGGCAAGTCACTTAACCCCAATTGCCTAAAAACTAAATGTATATGTATATATATAGGTCATGTTCAGAAACATAGCATATGAACTGTCTGTAACAATAGCAATCAACCAATCAACAAACATTTTAATGAATTGTCTGCTATGCGCCAGGTATGAGGCACCAGAGATAACAAAGTCCAAAAAAAGTTAGGTAATCCCTACCCTCAAACAGTTTACTCTTTATGACAAGAGACAACATGTATACAGATATGTTTTAAACCCCCCTAACCTGTCCCCCGTCTATCTTTCCTGCCTCATAGTATATACCTTCACATCCTGCACTCTGAGATCCAGGCAAACTTGCCTTCTCTCTGTTCCTCACATACTGTACATCATCTCCCATCTCCATGTCTTTGCCTTTGTTATCTCTTCTGTCTGAAGTACACTCCTTCCTCACCTCCCGATGGAGAAACTGAGGCTCAGGGAGGTTCAGCGACTTGCCCACACAAGTGACAGAATCACAATCTGAACCAAGATCTTCTAACTTCAACTTCAACCCCCACTACGTCGTGCTCTTCCCAATGGTAATTGTTATCCACTAAGGCTAGAATAATTTATACTTGATAATGTAATTAACAAAATAATGTAAAAGAAAGTGACAATGACGGACTCCAGAATTCTGATCAATGCAGTGACCATTCGTGACTTCAGAGAACTGATAGTGACACATCTATAAGAGGTGGTAGCCTCCTGGAGTAGAATGGGGCATTCATTTTTAGAGAGAGATAATGCATTGGCTGGTTTTACACAATTGTGCTTCTTTGTCACAACTTAGGGCTCTATTGGAGGAGTCATTAGGAAGTCTCCAGGATGAAGCAAGATGAACAAAGAAGAATGAAGAATAAAGAAGATGTCCTCTATAAGATTAAGGCCCCCACACAAGACATTCTGGATAGACTTCAGTACCTCCCTGGATATTTCTCCTAAGTTTCTGATGCTGAGAGAACTCACCATTTTAGAAAGCAAAATAGCAGCAGAGCCAAGATGGCGTAGTAAAAGAAATGTGTTGCTTGAGCTCTTCCCCAAATCCCTCCAAATACCTATAAAAAATGGTTCTAAACAAAT